TGGGCTGGGCAAAAAACTTTGGAATTCTTGCTGGCTTGTTTAAAGATGATGTTTTAGCCGTTCCTGAATAGATTTCCCTGAATAGGAATCACAGAAATGTTGCAGAGACCTTTTGAGAGAAGACTGAGCACAGCTAAGATGCTGGAGCTTTAAGAGAAAGTGGTACAGGACTGAGCACACTGATGGATCTCAGGAGGAGGCTGGGGACAGCCTGGTTAAAGAGGAGACAGTGCTTTTTCCAAGAGATGCAAGTGGGTTTGGAAGGCTCGGATATGAGCTGCCTGTTAATATCCTTAAAAATCCCTTCACGAAATCTCCCCTTCTTGCAAAGGAGTCTCTTGAATTCCAGCTGAGTGCCAGTTCCTGAGGAAAAAGGCCCAGTGAGGGGAGAGAAACTCCACGTACATGTGCTCTGAGCTCACGTGTGTGACTCCAGGACCAGCTGATAGCCATGGTGATATTTTAGCTCTGCTTGTGCCACCTCCTACAACAGTGAGGTTTGGGAGTGGTGGGAGTTTATTTTCTCTTCTAAGTGCTGTTTAACTTATCTGTGTCCCTTGCTGTTTCCCAGGCACATATTTTAAAAGTTAGATTTTTAATTTCCTGTGTTGTGTTAAAGCTGTGTGCAACCTCATCTGTGTTTTCATAAGGATTCCTCCCTTCTAGCTGACTAGGTAGAGTAGCATTTTGAAGCTCCTGCCAGCTTGTTTTAATGTCTCACTGGAGAACAGCTGGAAAAACACTAATGAAGTCCCAACTAACTTACAGGGACCTTTTACCAAAGAAATGATTTTATTCAAGTGGAATGGTGCTTGCTTTAAGACTGAGTTGCTCAGTGACTGAGAAGGAGGCAGGCTGGTAGCACTGCTGATCCTGGGGCTTGTTCAGAAGGCTGCTGCCAGCTTTGGCAAGAGTTTCATACATACAGTTCTTAAAATAACGAGAGCTAATGTCCCATTGCTCTGATTAGAAGAGCCAGTTGAACGTTATTTTAATCCCTTCAATAAGTTTATTTTCACACCACAGTTCTTGGGAAGCCCATATCTCAGGAGAGTGCTGTTCAGAGCTTCCATATTTGTAGATTTACTAATTTTTTTTTAATTGCTTATGGGAGCGTTCTGAGATGCCCTTGTTGCACTATGGATGCAAGATGGAGACAGATGACAGTTTGCAGGGGCCATATGGCAGGGGTATGTGGTTAGATATTGAACTGTGGTTCATCCTAACACTGGGTTTGGGATTAGAATTATTGTTTGGTCAAGTGGGTAGACGATGCACAAGGCTTAGACCTGAAGTTGCAGATCCCTGACTGTCTGAATTTAACCTACCAACCCTTTCCAGGCCCAGCGGGAGCCTTAATGATTCTTGCAGGCATAAATCCTCATCTTAACTGCTTTTCCTTCTAGCCCCACCTTTAGACACAGGCTTTGTGATCAAGCTCTGACCTTAGGTATTGACCACAGCTCGAAGGTAGCAACCCTCCCACTGCTTGGGCCACAGGCCCTGCCTAGTACTTGCCTAGACCTGGCCAGCAGCTGTTGCTGAGGGAAGCCCTAAACCTCACCAGATGTCAGTTTTGGACCCAGCTGAGAACCCAAATTCAGCACCTGCCACTGGCCAAAGCTCACCATGAGACACTTGAAGCTGAAAACAGCTGTGACCGCAGAGTAAGCTGGGAATGCAAATGCTCTCCATTGTTGCCTGTAGGAATCATTCAGGAGTAGTATGAGGAGAAAAAATGCAATGCGTGGAAGTAAAAAAAGAAATTATGCCTAATTGCTGTGGAGAAGCTGCCCTCTGGGCTCTTCAGAGAACTGATGTAATTGCTTCATCTGTGGTTACTTTTTTTTCCTTCCTAGCTATGCGGACACTTAGTGAAGACACCATCAGACTCTTTCTCCAGCAGATAGCAGGTGCCATGAAAATGCTGCACAGCAAAGGCATCATCCATCGGGACCTGAAACCACAGAATATTCTCCTTTCCTACACTGGAGGCAGGAAATCAAATCCCAACAACATTCGCATAAAGATCGGTGAGACCCTGTTAGAGCCATCACCCTGAGTGCTCTCAGGAGTTTGGCAATGGAGAAGTGGCAAGCCTCAGTCATTCCTTGGGGAGCAGCCTAGGAGAAGGAAAGAACAGCTGTACTTTTTAAAATGCCCTGATGTTTTCCTTTTCCTCACTTACTTTTTCTGCCAAACGTAACCTTCAGGTGGCTCCAAGCAGTAGGAGCAAGAGCTTTCTGCTCTGCCAGGGCACAGACTAACACAAAAGAACAGGGCAAGCCTTGCTCTACTTCCAGTGGAATGGTGCTTCCCTTGCTAAAAACAAATACTAGCCTACCCTAATTGGTTTGTAATCTCCAGGCTTACCAGGAAATGAGCAGACATTGTGCCTTTTGTCTTCAGGTTTTGATAGTACTGAGGTAAACGTTGGTGTCTTCAAGCCTGAAACTGTTCTCCTGGCTGGTCTCAGAAAGCACGATGAGGGTCAGGCACATCTAAAAGCAGGCATTTCCACAGGCCAAATTACAGGCAGGCTTCTCAGCTACATTTTGGAGAAACTTTTTTGCATGTTAGGCAAGTGACACAGATAGAGCAGTAGTTGTCCCAGCTGCTCCAGAAATCCACTTACGGAGCACACGTGTCCCCTGTGGCTCCTCAGAAATGAGTGCTGCCACCCTCAACACACAGACTTCTGATTATGTTACAGTTCACAAGCTGAAGCTGTTACCAGTCAGATAAAACTTCCTTGCCTGTACCCTGTGCTGTGCAGAAAGTGTTAATGCTGCATTCAGGTGAGAAATGAGGCCCAGTGGACACATCTGAAGTGTTGCTGCCCATTTGGCTAAAGTGGGGTCTTTAAATTTGTTTTTTTTTGCAAAGTATGAAGCTATGACTGGGAGTTGTAAAGGCAGGCAGGAGGGCTGTGGGCACAGCTGCCCTTGGGTGTGATGTCCCCTACAAGCCCTCCCTCCCAGTCCCCTGGGAAGGACGTGGTCCAGGGACTGGCTAGCTGTACCAAGTCATCGGTGACAGATGACAGTGTAAGCAACTGTCAGTCTCCTGGCTTGAAATATCTGGTAACCCTGAGAGAATCTGAGTATCGTATGATCAGATGCTGAGTAACCTGCCGAGGTAATTCATCTTGGTGTTCCTTGTCCTTGGCTCTTCCAGCCACCAGGTGAGCTGTGGCTCAGCTTTCTGTCCTTGTGCTGGGGTTAAGCACTGCTGAGACTCCTCTAAAGGCACAGGCTGGGCTGGGAATGTGGGTGGTGGCAAGCAGTGGTTTCTCTTGGGTATTTGTTGCAGCCTTTTCAATGGGAAAGGATACTTTCAGTTCCCCAAATTAAAAGCTGAGATAACTGTAGATGAACTAGCTAGTTCAACTGGCACGTTCTCACTGAAGCCAGGAGAGACCTACCAGCTTCCAGCAGCTGACTGGAGTCAGGAGTGCAGGAAGAAGTGTCTGTTGGTATCTGAAAAATGGATGGGAGTTTGTTCCTCTGAGTCATTCTTTTTGTGGCTTGCTCTGTGCTTTTCTAGTGTGCATTAATAACAGCACAAGGATGTTGCTGCTCAAGGAGAGCCTTGTTTAGGTAGGGTACTTCACTTGCTGTGGAGATTGATGGGCAGTGGAAGGAGAGGAAGGGAAATCATCTGGAGAAGGTGCTGGCTCTCTAGAACTGGTGTCTGATCCTGAAACCTCTGTTTCTCTTTGCAGCTGACTTTGGGTTTGCCCGATACCTGCAGAATAATATGATGGCAGCAACATTGTGTGGTTCACCAATGTACATGGTAAGTGTGTTTTGCCTACAGATTTTTTTGCATTGTTCTGGCTTTGCCACCAAGAAGCAAGGCTTTGTTTTGTGCTATTTTTCCACAAAGGTGAAATTTTATTTATCAGAAACCAGCTATGACACAGGGAGACTTCATAAAGTTTTGACTGCTGGTAATGTTGAACAACAGGTGCCTGTGGGCTCACCTCACTTTCAGGTGAGCTGTGGATAAAGAAAACTGAAAAAAACAGTATTGATTACTGTCTGCTCCCAGAAGCTGCATCTTCCAAAGGGGACTGGGGCCCCAGCACTGAAGGCATTGGTAAATTAAATCTATTTGTTCTGCTGCAAGTGAAGCAACAGCAAAAGAGAGTGAGGGCTGAGGTGATATTTCACACATCTGGCTATATTTGAGGTTTTGATTCCTTGGAGAGGAGCCTCAGTAAATCACTATTTCAGCAGGCCCTTTTCCCCCAGTTCTTTTACCAAACCACCTGCTTCCAGCATGACTCCTCAGCTTGTGAAACAGATGTGTTTAAAAAACCCAAACTGATCCCTTTCACCCCCCATTTGTACTTTCCACTCTGGGAAGAGGATGTGAGGAGGCAATTTTTTGTTTGTGCTCATGGCAGCAGTCAAGATCTCAGTGTTGAATCAAGTCATTGATGATAAAAATGGCAAAACCAGGCCAGAAATAAAATGTTGGTCAAAGTCAGCCCTGTAATAGTTCCTGGGGATGTGAGTGTCTGAGCTCAAAATAAAAAGATGATGTGGATCAATTTAGGTTGAAATTTTAAAAGAGCCCTGGGGCAGTAGACACCTGATTTTGAACATGATCTAATAAGCTCTTAAGTTTTTGTTGTTTTTTTCTTTTCCTCAGCACTCTGGGCAGAGTTGGGCTGGGCTGTGCTGCACTGCACAGAAGTAGCATATTTATAGTTTGTTCCACAGTACTAACTCAAGCAAAACAGACTTCCTCTATGTCACTGTTTTGGAGCCTGATATTTATTTGAACTATGCTATATGTGAAGATGATGTAATTTTTTCTCTCCTGCAAGACTTTCCTGAATTGTCTATTTTTAGTGATACTTTTTCTTTTGGAGACTCTCGTGTTTTCTTTTGGAGTCTGTCGTGAAAGTAAATGAAAACACCCAGCTTATTTTTTGAAAGGGCTGGAGGAAGCTAGCAAGGACTTTTTTAAACAACCCAGGACCTCACAAGGAATCTCAGAATGTTTCATATTGTTTTCTGTTTACTGATGGATTTGAAGAAAGATGGGGAGGGAGGGCTCAGCTGGAATTCAGGGGGTGTTTGAAGTCAGTCTCCAGTGCTGTTGTGGATCTTGTGTGGTATCCCTGGAAACATCTGCTGCCAAGGCAGACCCTCACTCCTGCTTGAGCTCGTAGCCCACTGATGCTCTTTTCAATTTGCTGTTTTAAAAAAGAGAGGTATTTTACCCCCACCAGAATGAATGACCTTTCTGTCTGAACCCTCATATGAGCCATGGCACCCGAGACTTGACATCTCATTGTGCAGTTCTTGTCCTGCTTTCTTGGCTTTGATTGGTGTCATACCTTTGTTTTGTGTCCCTTATGGACAGGTTGAGCTCCTCTCCACAACTCGTTTGCTTCCATATTTTTTTCCATTACATGTGGCCATGACTTGTAGCAGAGCTAGAAAATTGATCTTGTTCCATGCTGGCAGCACTGCGATGAAATCCACTGGTATAAACCCGTGGGATTAGCAAGCCTGCCCTTCTGTCCTTCTGCCACTCCTGAGGCACGCTGCCCTCTGAGCCACAGGGCTTTGTGGGCTTGCATCCTCTCCAGCTTCTGGAACAAGCCTGGGAGGGAGCAGCTGAGGGCATGTGTGAGATTAGAACCCAGGCTCTGAGGCACAGCAGGGCTCAAGCTGTTGGACTGAAACCTGCAGCTCTGCCTTTGAACCCGGGGTCTGACCTTGGCAGCAGCCTCTGGAGCATAATTAATATGCTGCCATCTTGGGCTGAATGAGGAAAGTGCAGAAGTGATGTAGGTCAGGCTGGAGGCTGAAGCTTACCTCTACAGTGTGAGCCTTTGCTCTTTGGAATTTACCTGGAACTTGCTTTGCTTTAGAAGATCTGTCTGTGTGATTTCAGTGAGGCTGCTTCTGAGCAGAAAATGGTACACTGACAAGAGAGAGTACTCGTTGGGCTCAAACTAGCCAGACATCATAGGGTATTTTGCCTGCCTAATGAAAGCTTCTGCTTCCCCTCTGAAGATAGGGCATTGGCCCTTTCTAGGTAGTGTTACAGTCTTCTTGGGAGCAAACCTTGGATGGTTATTGGGAAATCTAGCTCACAGGTTCTTAAAGCATAAGTGACTTCTGTTTCTGTCTTGCAGCTGCTAAAACAGACAAACCCTAAACCCTACAGCTTTTGTAAACCAGATTTCTGTTCTCTCCCTAAAAAGGCCCCAGAAGTCATTATGTCTCAACACTACGATGCCAAAGCTGACCTCTGGAGTATAGGAACCATCATTTATCAGTGTCTAACAGGAAAGGCTCCTTTTCAGGTGAGTTGCTCAGATCTAATGCTTATGACTCTCTTGTTTATTTTTCTCCTTTTTAATCCATTTGCTCTGAGGCTTCTGTCATCTATTATTAACTCCAATAGATCCAGCCTCACGGAGGTCTGGCTGTCCAACACCTTGACAATGTGATGCTTTGTATGTTGTAATGCTGGATGTGTTACTGGAATATGGCTCTACTTCTCTAGGCTGTATCTCAGTGGAATGTGTCTCCTCTTGGTTATAAATCCTTAGGAAGGGCCATCTATTCAGAAAATGATCACAAATCAGTTAAAGCAGTGGGATTTATTCCAGGCCCACGCTTAAAAAAAGAACAAAACTTGTGTTTACAGCTGTACTCAGCGTATGATTTATAATGATACTCTGTTTGGTGTGGAAGGACAATAAGGAAGATTGTATTTGCAAGTTGATGTTTGAGGTGATTTGTTGGTAACTGGTATATTGCAGCTAAATTGACTTTGTTTTTAGAGGAGTTAAGTAGGATTTTATCGAAAGGATCTTATCTGCCATCTCCCGGGGTGATTTGTTGGTAACTGGTATATTGCAGCTAAATTGACTTTGTTTTTAGAGGAGTTAAGTAGGATTTTATCGAAAGGATCTTATCTGCCATCTCCCAGCAATCCCTTCCAGCCTGAAATGTTTATGTTCATCAAGTCCAAACCCCTCCAAATATAAAACAGTCCAGTAAAGCTCCACCCTGTAATTTATGCTGTAACTTCTGGATGAGCTAGAGTGTATCTTTTGTGAAAGGCAGTCCCTGACTTTAATTTTTTGTTTTGTGGAGGATTCATCACATCCTTACGCAAGTTGCTTCAGGATTATTTCATGTATTTTTAATCATGCATAGCTGGAGTTTATCTAGACTAAGTGCTTTTTTCATGTTCCAAGTCATTAGTGTGCCACACTGTGTAGTACTTTTCTTCTTCCACATTGAAGGAGATCTTCAGACTCTCCCTTGCAACCACTAGTTTAGAGTACTGTACTTGTCAGGTTTTCTTCCTTCTTACCTTAGAGCAGAGCAGAGAGATGCTTGAGTTCCTGATGCTACTTTGCCTTTGTGTGAGCTCTGTAGAGCTTGTCTCTAATCCATGGAAAGAGACCGAGCCTAAAATTTCCATGCTGCTGCCTGCTGCTGTCAGCTCTTCATCTTCTTAGAACGGTGTCCCTCTTTTTCTCATGTCCTGACATACCTTTATCCTAATTCCCTAACAGAAAAATCCAAAACCAAACAACAAAAAGTCACTTTGGGGGTTGGAAATCTATACCTATGTAATAAGTCAGATGTGATGAAGTTCAGGAGGACATCCTGAGCTTTACTTCCACAGCTCTTTAGTGTCACACAAGACCTTAAATTTTTATGCAGTTACAACATCAGGAAGGCTAAAGTGGATTCTGAATCTGTTGCAGGAAAGAG